CTATGAAATCTCTAGATGATGGCACTTGATTGGATGTTGTCCAACTTCTCTCTTCATCCTTACCCTTGTATTTATCACTCCATGATACCGCATAGCTGCATTAAACACATCCACCTTGTCATTTCTCAAAGTGCTAGGAGTCAACAAAATAGTAATGATATTGAGTGGCATTCAGATCGTTTCTGAGCCATGGAAAAACAATTTATCAACCAAAAGGACAGTGATACTCAACAAAGCTCCAAAATGAAGAAAAACTGCTGTTGAAACATAATGCAAACTGTGCATGAATATTAAGACAAAACAGAGGAGTGATTTAACATGGATATATACTTTTCAAAAAACTTTAAGGCTCTTGAATAATAGTGCGATGTTACTATCACCACGTTTTTTCTACAATCACAGGGTATGCATCAAATAATGGGTTTCAAAGTTGATGTTAAATCTACTGGTTCAAGAAAAATTCATCAAGACAGCTACATCATCCATTATTTAGTATACATTATAATTATAATCCTTTCTATCGATTTTCACATTCTGGAAAAGCCTAATACTCATAAATCTCCATAAAAACAGGACCTAAAATGAAATCACCAATTACCAAACATCACTAAAGCCAGGCATATGGGTGATAACCCTGCAAAGCTACACAGCTAGCTTCCATCAAGTCCAATTCTGGACATCTAGAGCTAGGCACAGCGCAGCATGGCCAAGTTTTGATGTGGCACATTGCAGGAAAGCAGCCTACCATTGTAAGGACTGAGAAATAATTAAAACTAAATCACAATCACATGATGAATTCATGGCAAGACTAAATTTTTGAAGTCAAGTAGAGATCAATAGAGGGTCATAAATTGCTCGTAAAGTCAAACAAGTAGAGATCAAAACCGGAGGTGAGTGAAACACACTTTAAAGATTGAGAAACACTTGCTCGGTCCTTGTGAAAGATATCCATTATTACATATTAGATACTAAAATGCCTCAGCAAGCTCGCTGGTAGCCTTATTAGTTTCTAAAGTAAGGTCAGCAGGAAAAGGAGGAAATCTGAAAGACCTCCAGGTGTCTAGAGTTCAACAAGTCAGTTGAATGAAGATATGGAGGTTAGTGCTTCATCCAATACATCTCCTTAATATAACTTATCTGACAAGAATATAGGGGTCTTCAAGATTCCCTAAAGCATATGGAGATCTGTAATATCGGTAACGTCCAAAAAATAGATTTGTTATATTTAATAAAAACAAGATATTTGTTTCTGGAATCACCATCGATTCTCGTGTTCTTATTCGTTCTTTTTATTTCTTGGATTAAGGCATGAGTGACTTCTCCCAGGTATTCAGTTTGTACCAAAGAAAGCTTCTGTAGCTAATTTAGAGGTCAGAAAGCACCAAAGAAATGAGATCCATTATCTCCTCACCTTTCTGTCATCTCAATGCAAATTCTCTACAGGTTGTCAGACAAGGCTGCTCTAGAAGGTACTTTGCTCTATCATTTAAAGTGCACAAAAGGCAAGTTAACTAACCTCTGTATTTCAACATGAATTGTACACTGTCTAAATGGTAGCAAGGGGATTGATGATTGCTAAAAGGAAAACTCTTTGATCAGCTCAACTCCTTGTCGGCTGTCAAAACCAATCCATTGATGCGTAAAATGTACCTCATAATCTTGATTTTGTTTCTACAAATAACATTCTTCAGTTATCAAGATTCAAAGTAGGAAAATTGCCAATGAGGCATCAAGGAGTGCCTCTAATCCAGCTGGTCATCCACTTAAGGAAAGCATCACTGCTAGGATAGATAATCGGATCTCTATATTCTTGAGTTTTCCTGGAAGAATTCAGCTTATTGTTTCTGTTCTCTTTAACACTCAAAATTATTGGTCCAGTATATCCATTCTCCTCATAGGCTTATAAAGAAGGTGAGATAGAAATATTGTGCTTTTCGCTGGAAGCGGAAATCAGGCATGTTAAAGAAGCCAAAGTAGGTTGGGATTTTGTTAGGTAGATCTAAACAGGAGGGTGGACTGGGTATTAGAAGCATTTAAGATTGGAATTGAGCTGCCATCCTCAGGAATATTTTTACTGTCTTTTCCTAAAGGACGATAATGGGGAATGTGGGACTACAAGGGAAATTAAATGATATTTTAGCTTTGACGAAGTTCAAGATTTTTATTTCTGTTCAGAGATATTAATATGTGCTATTTAGTAGTTAAAGTAGGTTTTTAAAGAATCCAATATTATGTCCCATTCAGTTTTCCTATTTCTTTTTGGATTTGTACTTATGAATAAGCACCTTAACGAGAGGTTCAAGTTCTATGCAAATGCTTTGTAGATACATGATATTTTTTGGTACATTTATAATCATCAATTTATTCTTGTATTCTTCTTATTGATGACCAACCTATACTTTTATATCTTGCATGGGCTTGGGGAAACCAACAAATCAAGTGTCATCATGGATCAAGAGTTATCTATACTTCGGTGGGTAGGACTTAAGACTCACAAAGGTTAATCAATGACATGTGACAAGGATCAACCTTTCACACTTTGAGAATGCTTAGAGAGATTTGACTTGGTGGACTTGGAATAAAACCCATTAAGGTTGACCCATGATCACCTTAACCTTTCTTAATAGTTTTTGAGAGCGGAATCATGTGTTCCCCAATACACATTGCATCAATCCAACCTTCACAATCTTATGATCTATAAATACCATATTCATTACCTCATTTAAGAACCTTTTCACCATTCACCTACTTGAGGGCTTCTCTTTCTAATCCACACTTTCTCTCTCTATCTACATCACCTGTTTTCCTTTTTGTACTTGATTATTCCCCTAGTTGTGCTTTGCAAACATTCCTTGTACACACCTGCTTTGGGAAGTAACACACAGTCAATCACCTCATCATTTTCATAACTTGCCAAATCACCCCCTCACTAGTACCTTGAGTCCTTGCCTACCAGACACTCCCATATACGAAGATTGTCTGCCCCTCCCACACCTCTCTCTAATGCTTCCCTTCCCCACTATGGCATAACTACTCTGCAACGCTCCCTCAGCTCCACACCCTTGAAGAACCTTTGCATCTATACTTTGTTTAGTAAATTAATTGTTTTTCTCAAGAACTAGTTTTCTTAGCTTTGTACTGTTTTTTTTCTTTCCATCTACAGGTTCTAGATCACCTGTTCTCTATGAGTTGCTTGACTCCATATCATAAATAAAAGAAGGTTTTGGAGCCTTAATGTTCCAAATGATTTCCATTGAAGATGGAAAAAGGCTTTGAACCTAAGGCCAATAACTATTGAGATGGCCACTGTATTTGAATCTAGCAATTCAATCTAAGATTTTAAAATAGAGTCCGAAAGAATACTTTCTTGTGGTGGGACTCACAGTACCCTTAAGGTCCTCTTTTGAAGTTGTATGAACAGAGGATAGTTCATTATTTGAAGGACCGGAATAAAAATATAGTCTAAAGACTGAAACGAAAAAGCAAAGAAAGTTTTGTAGCATGCATGGACAAAAATCACACATGACAAAACTCCAATAATCAAAATAAAAGTAATATCAAAGAACATGGAAAAAAAAAAAAAAAATCACAAAACGCTAAAAAAGAGACTTAGCTACAGTGTAACTAGATTTAGTTGAATATTTGATATCAAAACTTGTAAAATCATTTCACTTATACTCTTAAATATAACTAATTTCTCCTATTAAAAAAAAATATTATTTATTCCAAAAAGAAACAAATTATTTAAATAAATAGACATGTTAATTTACTCCAATAATATATTAAAATTAAATCAATAAGCCTATTTTCAATAATTCAAAAAAATATTTTAAGAAAAATTAACATACAACAATAAAATTGAGCACAATAAGATTAATTTTAAACTTTGAATGATCAAAATTGAAGTATAATATAAGGACCGAAATGAAAAAAAAAAACTTTGCAGCATGCAAGGACCAAAATCACACATAACAAAACTCTAATGACCAAAATAGAGATAAGATCACATAATAGAGACCAAAATGAAAAACAATACACAAAAAGCCAAAAGGAGAGCTTAGCTACAGTGAAACTACATTTAGTTTTAATATATTTATAATAATTATGTCCTACTGTTCTATACCAAAAAGCTCAGTCAAATTGTGGCACATTCTGGCTTCTGAGGGACTGGCAATTGAGCTTTGCAGAATTTGCAAGAGAAGATTTTTACCCTTCCAATCAGGTTTGGAATTGGAAGGAATCAAAATAACACGCTTCCACCCTCAAAAGTCCGGAGAGCATTGTCCTCGTCAGTTCATTTATAAAGAATGAGGACGAATGTTGCATATCTTCAATGTAAGGTTTAAATAGAGAAAGAGAGCAAAGACTTGTGTTTATCTGTAGATTAGATCAGTCTACTCATTGCTAGTAGTTGTTCAGTTTGCATGGCTTCATTGTAATTAGTCTCAAGTTGTATTTTTGTTGTATTTGTTTTTAAGTTTTGTTAACCTCCAGTTGGCATTCTTTGGGTTGCAACAGAGATTAGTTGAAAATAAGTTCGTTCATTGATCTAAAAATGCCATATGAATCTCCCCACCCGGCATGAGGGAAAAAAAATTAAAAAAAGAAGATAATTGCACAAGTATTGTACTAGTGTTTAATGCATGTGCATAAACAATAGAAGTATAGAATGGTTGATCTAGAAAAGTTAAGACTCATGCAGCAACAGTCATTCAAATAGAAGGTATAAAGGATTTGAGCAGTCAGGCTAAACAAAAAGGATTCTATTCCTAACTTCAAAAGAATTACCAGATTTACTACATGGTTTTTTATAAAAGAACATGAAGTGGAGCCAAAATGGGTTTGTTTGGAATATGCAAACTAAATGAACAGATATCATTAAACTGACTGATTTCCTAATTATTGATTTAACCATTATATATATCTAAAACCAAAAACTTATATCACTGCATTCAAAATATGGAAAGCAAGAATTAATTTGGAAATATAGATGAGAAAATCTATAACCTGTCATACGTTGAACCAATGAGTGGAATGGTAACCATCTCCTCCTGGGATATCTTAAGCTTAGGTGCTTGCAATATATAGCGAAGATTTGCAGCTTGACGTTGAATGCTAACACTGGGGTGCTTCATTTCCAATTGCTTGTAAAGAGCAATGCAGTCAGCATGGCGATTATTAGCCTCATAAGCCATAGCCAACCATATTTGTATCTAAACAACAAATTTTTAACTTATTAGTAATCACTCCATGATCAAAATGTTGTGCCAAAAGAAAGCAAACAAAGAGTAAAATTAAATTAAATTACCAACCTCACCACCAAACAGTGTTGACCTTGGAATGATTGTAAGGGAGGCTTCAAGGAACTCAATAGCCCTTCCATACATGCCTTTTCCGTAAGCTTTTTGCCCTAATTCAAACATCAATTCAGCCGTCGCTCTTCTCTCTGCCTGTTCCATGGCTACCTGCTTGAAAACAAATATTAACAAAAATAACTAGGAAAACAAATACAAAACAGTAAAAAAAAAAAAAAAAAGAAAGAAAGAAAGAAAGAAAAATAGTTGTATAACCTTATTGAGCTCTTTTCTCACTCTCTCCTTCTTCTCTTCCTCACTCTCTTCTTTTTCTTCCAGGCTATTATCATCCAATATTCTGCTCTGCAATTCTTCAGCTTTCTTCTCCAACTCTCTTCTCTCTTCTATCTCCTTCACTCTCTTCCTCATCTCCTTTTCCCAATCGAATGGCTCCTGATCTTCTTCTTCTCCTCCTTCTCCGTTCCCGTTGTTCTCTTCATCACTATCAAAATCCACACCGTTCCTTTCCGAATTCGCTTTTCCTCGAGCAGCCACCACTCTCTTGTGGTTCCGAGATTGGACTTCCCCATCCGATTCGAGGTATTTGTAATCATCCTTACCAACTACTTCAGAAACTTTCTGCAAATTTAGCAAGCTACAGTCTATACTAAACTTTCTATACTGTTTTTGGATTCAAAATAGTTTTCTTGTCCAAAATAAATCCAATCCTTTGGTTTCTCAAAACAAAAGTTCACTTATTTTCCTCCGGAGAGAATTTGTTAAAACTAAACATCTATCCTGACTGCACACCATTTTTTCACAACCATTACCTATAGGTTACAGATAAGCAATAAATAAATAAATAAATCTTGCCATCTGCGAACTGGTGACAGCTGATAAAACAGCGAGCATTCTAATGGTTTATGTAATTTTTTATTGGGCCCTATTTTAGGGATGGTTCATCAAAGGGTCTGGCGAGATGCACATTGTGTCCTAAAATCACAACTTAACTGCCAGGAAAACAGTAATCTAACATATTAATCAGGTTTGCACAACATTTATTTACATAATGTTTAAACTTAACGCATTAGAGAATTTGGCTGAAGAAAGATCAGCTTACCACATCAAGAAAAGGTGAATTCATCTGCCTCTCATCAACAACTACATTGGCAGAGACAGCAGTTGCATTTGTAGTAGTATCTCTGGCAGTTGCACTGTTTAATTCAGTGTCCAAATCCTGCATTAGAGTAATAAGGCATGTTTTAAAGGCATTCCAATACATTTGAATTAATCAATATAGAATATTAGTAGTATCTTAAAGAGAGTATTTAGAGTATTGATGCTTGCTTGTATTGATAAAAATATCTTTTCCAGGTCTCTGGCAAAGGTCATAACATCCACATCCTTGTTTGTTGATAAAAGAGGCTTGCATCAGAACTTAAACTAATAGTGATGTCATCCATAGAAATCTGGAGAAAGAAAACTAAGGAAAGAAGAATATATAAAAAGCAATATATACAAAGCAAGGGACAGATAGAACAATTTTTACATCCTCAGCTCTCTTCTAAGAACTGATTCAAATGAAATGACCTTTTTTCTTTTAATACATGCCCGTCTAAATCGTACTCGTAAGCACCAATAGTCACATCATTTGAGATATCTACTAAGTCCTCTGTCAGAGCACATTACTAATCCTTGGTTTTTAACCCTGGTTGGATATAAGCATTAACTTAAGGAAGCATCTTATGGAGTTTGCAAATGAATAGCACACAAACATCCATATGGAGTGAGTGCAAGAACTTACACAAGTTTTAAAGCACTAGCATCCATAGACAATATAATATGCAAGCATTGGTTTCTAAATATAGATGTCATTCAAAGTTTACAATCATTCTCAGTAGTGGAAAAACGAATTAGAATCCAATTTATACCCTAAAAGAGTGGAGAAACAAACTAGCAACAGTATCTCAGTGAGGTGCACCTAAAATCTTCAAGGAAAAACATCTAGGAAAAAGGAGTCTTTCACAGTAGAACTTCTGAAAATAAGACAGGAAAATAGCATCCCAATGCCCTCCTCGTCATATGTGAGAGGATGGCATACTGGGAATGATGAAATGTTGGAAGAAGAATTTCAACCTTCATCCTGCATCACACTTTTGCTTTAAATGACGCAATGCCAGAAGGAACTGAACCTGGGATAATTCCATGGCCACTATGCTGCCAAGCTATAACACGTTAAAACAGAATTCCCTAAATCTCAATCACCCTATGCAATCAAAAACCATGCTTGATCCCATTCAACTAAGTGAATTAAACTTTAAGCTCTCAGTCATGGACACCGGAATCACTGGTTGCAATTTGCTGGAAGCCATAAATTAACTCTTGTTCAAGAAATATGCAGTTGAAGGAAACAATAAATCAACTCTTGTTCAAGAAAACAAGAATTCCAACTAACATCTACAAACCAGTCTTGTCCAAACGAGAAGAGACACAGTAAAAAAAAAAAAAAATGTTAAATTTTGAACAGTCTAATAGGCTTTACCAATTCTCACAAATTACATATGTGATGATGTTTCCAGCCATCCTACAGAAATGTTTCCTGGCATCCTACAGAAAAACTAGATGTGTTTACAAACGAGACAATTCTCACCATTACTTATCCATACATTTTATGCAAGACTGGAAGTGTTTCATTCATTTATTTATTTGTTCCAAAGTGATGCAATGCCATACATTTTTAAGCAAAAAAAAAAAAAAAAAAAAGACTATCGAATCGTAAACTACCTTTGATACATCTGCCAGCCACACGCCACCAACTCCAAGAAATGCTTGAATGCCTTGAGCCAGCCTTAGGGCCCCACGTGGACCGGTATTGATAGATGTCTGAACAATATCCTCCACCAGTTTGGGTAAGATTTCAATACTATCTGGTAGTATAACATGTAGAAGTTTTCATTAATGAAGTATGATTCCAGCTAAAACCAGAAGAAGTAACAGCAAGTTTATATATTAAGGCTATTAATACCTTGGAGACGAGAAGAGAAAAGATCCTGCTGTGTCTGAGCATATCGGGCAAAAGTCTTTGACCGAAAATTGAGCTTACTTGTTCTCCTGCTTGGAATTGGCAACTTCGAAACAAGCAGCAGTTTGTCAAGACAAGAATGAATCGATCAATAAGTTAGACATTAAAAGAAAATAAAGTTTTAAGAAATGAATGAATCACCTGAGGAAGAGGAGGAGTGTGTGGATTGTTATTCAACCAAGAGAATCGAGCCCCTCTTGGTGCTGACGCAGAAATTATAGCCATTTCTTTCTTCTTTCTTTCTATTTGTCTCGCACAAATATCATCAACTGTGAGCGTGATGGTATCTGCAGCGAATACGTAATAAGTACAGCACAAAGAAAGTATTTGAAGATAAAAAACGTGAAAGGTAAGAGGCCACGTGGCAAACAATAGCTTTACACTACCAGTACTGGGGGTTAGGTTCTTTACGCCTTGTTTGTTCCCACTTCTATGGCGTCAATTGTTGCCATGCATCATCCATCCTTGGGCTCCAGAGCATTTTGGATCATTCGGATATATTTAAGGTAATTATCCAAAGATTGTTTTTACCCGAATTTACTCTATCCGACCAAACAATTTGAGTAATTCGGGCCGAATTACCCAATACCTTACCCCCATTATTATTTTTTAACTTAAAATGCTAAAAAAAAAGTAAATTAATTTGATAAGCTCTAAAGAAAGTTTTGATTATGAAAAATTAAATTTAAGGAAAATTACATGTCCATTGGTTTTAAAAATTTATAAATAACAAAATAATAATAGTAAAATACAATTTCAACAATTCATCTAACTCGAACTTGTTTTAGTATTGTCTAGATTATCAAAATGAATTTTAAATAATTACTATAATTATTCATACTTTCAAAATTTAGAAATTGACTTCTATAAATGACAAATGAAAATGGTGTGTAGATGACTTACCCTAATGGTTCAAAAGAATATGCCAATAAGATTTGTAAGATGCAAAGGTCCATTTATGGACTTAAGCATGCTTCTAGGAATGAGAATCAATGTTTTGGTAAACTAATCAAAGAGTTTGATATTTTCACAAAAACAAAGATAAAACCTTGTGTATACAAAAGGTTAATGGGAGCCTACAAGTTATGGTTATTCTACATAAGAATTAAATAAACTACTTCTCGGCTTTGAACATTATCATATTACAATCCACAATAAATTGAGATATCTAAAAGAAATTTCCCAAGTATGACATGGGAGGGCAACCTACATTCTAAGAGTCGAGATTTATAGAAATATATCACTTATAATATAAGGAGTCTCTCAAGGCGGATACATTGACATAATAATAACGGGTTTAGTATGAAAGAATCAAAGAAATATTTCTTCCAATGTCACATAGCTTGATGGCCAACAACAAAGGATTCATAGCATAGGCTAAGGAACCAATATCTCATCAACGATCCAAACATATACTCTGCAATGCTATCATTTGATTAGAGAGATTATCGGTCGTGACAACATAAGGATAGAAAAGGTCTACACTAATGACAACATAGCTAATTCCTTGACTAAACTTTTGTCGCAGTTAAAACATGAGTCCCTTACTCAATCGTCGGGATTAAGAGACATGGTCGGTTAATTCTAGTGCAAGTGAGAGATTGTTAGTGTAGGTGCCCAAGATCTAACTATGTTTGGATAAGTTTGAGTTATTGTATTATTGCATCATTTATTTTATTAATAATAAAAGAAGTTTTTTTATTAATTCTTACGTCTTATATTTATTTATTGAATAGAATTAGATATAAGTCCTTATGATATGCATTTGCATTAGTGATTGATTTAAAGATGTGAGATAAATACTAATGCACATAAATGATATCATTAAATATCCCGAGTCATAGCATTGTTAAGAATGGACTTGACTATATGCGATTAGAATTATGAGTGATATGTCGATGTTATATGATAGCGAGTAGGAGATCTTACACCTATTGGTATGATAATGCCAAAGCTAGCACTTAGGTGATTTATATTAGAGAACATATTACTCGGACTTGACTCACCATAAGAACCTATTTGGTTTAGTCAATTAGAATCTCATACGAGATAGGTACAACTAGTACAACTGGTCCTTAAACTTGAAGTCATTATGATTATCTTATTAGAGGATTAGTGTACTTTGACACTTGTTTTAATGGACCCGGTAAAGGGTTGCACATGAGTGATTTGTTGGGTGCACCAAGAACCTAATGGAGATAGGTGGATGACTAAGATAGGACATGTCATTTTTTGTATGCTAAAGGAGTTATCACATTGCACTTCGATGAATGTCTTCTTAGGAAATCTATGACCATAGTAAGAGTACACCAATAGTATAGTTGGTTTACTCTAAGAGTTAAGACATTTGGGAATCAAAGAAAACTTGAGGGATCATAATCGAACAAGACTAATAATCAAGTTTGAGATTACACCGTGATAAGTTATCATGAGGGTTGAATTGTATGATAACCATGCTTGTAAAAGGTAATTGCGAATTAATTATTCCTCATAGAGAATTGGATAGTCACGATCCATTGCTTAGAGGCCAATCTTGATTTATGTATAAAGAGATAAAAGATGTGTCATTTATTCTCGATGCACTCGCCAATATATCTAGAAGCCTATTAAGTCACACATACATGTTTAAGCATTCACATAATAAAAGAGAAGCAAAAATATTGAAAAAGTTTTCAATTTTGAAAATTTTTATTTTAAAAGGGTTTTTGAAAATGGAAACTTTCCTAAAATTTAAAGTTTTCTATTTTGAAAATCAGTTTTCTAATTTAGAAGTTAGTTCCAAATTTGAAAGTAAATAACCTAAAAGGAAAGTTTCCTAATTTAGGTTTAAGGATAATTTGAGAATTTGTTTCCTAATGTGGGCCTCATAAAATTATCTAAATTAATTCATTTGGATAGTCTAGATTAATTAATTGGGCCAAAATAGTTTAGGCCAATAGGTTTAATTAAAAGCCCGAAATATATTTTGGTGGCGGGATAAACATGAACCTTATTGGATAAGGATAAATGTTTTAAAGGATAAGATCAAAAAGCCCCAATGCATAATAACTCTTACTCCTTGGAGTATTAAGAAGCAATAAGCAAAAGTTCTTTTTATGACGGTTGCCACCCTTCATTATCCTTAAAGGACAAAGAAAACTCTCCCGTTATAAATAGGAGGAAAGGTGCAACAACAAACACAATTAACACAAGAGAGAAAAACAATAAAGTAAGAAAATTTAGGGCATACGAGCATTGAGTAAAAATTAAAAAGAAAATAGTTTTCTCCCTAATAACCCGAACACACCCCACTTTTAATTTCTCCCTTTGGATTGTCGCAAAATTATCCTGATTGAATTTCAAAAAGAAACACACTAAACAAGTCAAAAAAAGGTGGAGCTAGCACTCTACTAATTTTGAGTGCTTATTTTGTGGGTGTTTTGACTATATGGATTATCGATAGAGATCGAACACTTAAATGGATCCTTTTTTCCAAAGGTTTAAATCTACGCTATAAGAGGTAATTATTTATTTAATGCTTTAATTCATGAATATATGGTTAATTGATTCAACGACATGATCTTGGGCCTATTAGATGGACGAATTTTTTTTTTTTGCACCTTTATAGGATGCATGATCCTCGAGTCTTTTTCTCATTTACGATATCCATTACATTAACCAAGTAACCCACACACCCACTTCTTACCATTTTATAAGTTGTCACTATCGAGATAATGCACATCAATTTCGACTTGTTTTCAATTCAAAATTCGGATGGTTATTCCATTAATTATTGAAACACAACTTTTTTCGTAAGACAATCAATTGATGTGTCATTCTTAGCAAAACAATCCATGTCCAAAATCACATCAAAGTCCTAAATTCTAAAAACCACTAAAATAAATTTCAAAACTTTATCACCAATTCATAACTCACAATCCTTAACCATGTCTCTAGACTCTAAATTTCTCCCCATATAGAAGACCTACCTTATATTCAATCTCAAGTGTCTCGGATATCACTCCCAACTTTCTCAACTAGGACCATGATATGAATAAATATGTGGCACTCAAATTAACCGAAATATATACAATAAGATCAAAGATTAGAACATTATCACAAATCACCGATGTATGATCCTCCTTTGTTTGTTCTTGTATTATCGTATACATTCTCCTAGGTACTTTTAGTATAGCCCTCTTCTTAGGATAATTACTTGTCAAGTGCCCAATATTTTTACAAAAATAGCAAATATCGATACCAATCAAACAATCCTCGATATGCTTTTGGCCATACTTGATGAAATTTGGCTTATCTTATGCTTCTACCATTTGTTGTCCCTTAGAAATTTTATCCTTCTTAGTATTATTTGGTCATGTTCTTACAAACTAATTTTGTCCAGCGATCGCTTCATTGAATCCATTTATAATATATGGTCTCTTAGCTTGTTAAAATTGTGTAGCCTCTTTACGGTCTTTCTTTATCTTTAGTGCTCTAATAATCGTGTCACCATAATTATCTGCTAACACTCGCACTAAAATTTGCACCTTTAGTTTCATACTCCTTAGAAAATGGCCTATCTTCTATGTAGCAACCCCTAAAATAAAAGTCGTAAATTGGCGACCATGCTTAAACCTTCGGACATACTCGACCACCGAAAAGTCCTATTGCTCTAACTTTATAAAATTTTGTATCTTTTTCAATTTCACACTATCGGAGAAGAATTTCTCATCGAAAATCTCTTTGAATTATGCTTATATAAGATTAGGCATATTTAAAGAAACTTTTATTGATTCCTATTATGTCCTTGCATTGCTAACAAACATAAAAATGGCACAAGACACCTTATCCGCATCCTTCATTGCCATATGGTAAAAAATTATGTCTAAGGACTATCCACTCTTCGACATCCATAAGATAAGACTTGCCTAAAAATTCATTTGGGTTAAATTTCTAATTTGCTCAACCGTGTCGGCTCTCTATGGTGGCCTTGATACTATTTATTGCTAATGCATAGCCATCAAAATTCTTATCTCGTTTGTTATGTCTCTATTGTTACTACTATAACAGTTCTTACTTCTTTTGTACCATCTTAAACACTTGCTTTTTCGAAAATCTATTATTCGTAGGCTCATTATTATTATTTTTTTGATTGGCAACCTTGTTGTTTGTCCCTACACTATTAAGATTTCTCCTCATCATACTTTTTTGATTTCCTTAACACCCATAAGAATTCCATAATTAGC